TTCTGCCTGCTCTGCTCCCTGCTCTGGCTCTGGTGAATTCTTTCACCCTCCCGCGCTTCTGACTGTACCCAGTGCTTGTATAAACAAAACAAACAAACAAATAAATAAATAATAATAAAAAAAACACATGCCTCTAAAAAAAAAAAATTAAAAAAAAAAAAAAAGATCTGCTTGCTTTTCCTAGTTCCTGGAGGATTTTAGGAGGCAAGTTAATTCCATCTTCTCTGTCCTCCCAAATGAAATAAATCAGTGAGGATTTGATTACTAAGAGTCCAATGCTGTGCTCAAATCCACCCTTGTGTTCCGGCCAGGCTCTCACACACCCTAGATTGAACTGCCTTCCTTAGCTTGTGACCTCAAAACCCTGGCATCAAGCCTTGACCGAGACAGCTTAGAAAACTTTCATCTGGTTGTACTGGATGAGGAACCTGGGACAAAGATTGTGGCTGCTGTGGTTGACATCACTCTGGGCAAAATCAAAGGGTTTTTACTGAAATTCCAGAATTTTAGACAAGCCACACGACAAGCTTTTGACACCAGAGACATCTGATCTCTCCTTTGGAGTTAAGGCAATGAACACTTTAAAACACATGCTCCATTTTTTTTTTTTTTAAATCTATAGCTTTTACTGTTATTTAGCCTGAGATATAGAGCTCAGAACTTACCCATCACAGCAAGAGAGAAATGTTTTATCAGGGCTGTTTGGCTCAACTGGGAAGCAAAGGGGGTTCTGGCTGCCACAACCTGAAGGCTCCCTCTGAGTTAAAGTAGCAGAAACAGGCAAAACCCACGCCCACATTTGGGGGACCATTGCTTTCTTTCATGGTGTCTAAAAGCAACAATCTTATTTTGACAGCTGCAGTATGGATTTAAAGACTTTTTACAGTAAATGTGAGTCATCAGCCTTGAGCTTCGATGCTGAAAGAAACAAAACAAATCCTATGTTACTGAGAAAAATAAACCTGTCCTTTCAGGCAAACTCCAGCTGTGTTTCCCTCCCAACAGTTTAATTCTCTTTCAAGCAATTCTCCTCTTTTGGGAAGAGGAAGGAAGGGGGGGTATATCCCTCAAATAAAGACATAAAACAAGTAAATCTAATGGAATGAAGTTGATCAAAATAATAAATGAAATGAAAAATGCTCTGCTCCTAGGGGGAGCTTTGCATCCAAATGGCTGTCACCTCATCATGTTCTTAATAAAAGGCCCCTACTGAGTGAAATCTCCCTAGGAGAGATCTGGTTTAAAATGCCTAGTTGGCAGTTTTCAAATTTGAGCTTACATCACAACCCAGGGAGGGCTGGTTAAACACACATTCCTGGGCTCCACCCCCAATCCCTGATTCAGTGGGAACAGGATGGGCCCTGGGAATTTGCACCACTAACAAGTTCCCCTTCAAAGCTGAGGCTGCTGTCTGGGGGACCACACTTTGATAACCACAAGTCTAAGTGCTTGTGAAAACAGAAAAGCAACTGTATGAGGCTCAAACTCATTCCCCTGATGTGTAATTATTCTTTCACAAATGGCATTTCTCCACTCACATTTAGTCAGCTCAGTTCTCCCATGGGGCTCTCTTACCCCAGATTCCTTTTTTTTTTTTTTTTTTTTTTTTTTTATAATAACCCCATTCCCTGGCATAGCCAGAAGGTGAGCAAACTGCTCATAAGGATCTTCAAGTTCCCAGCTGCCAGGGTTCAGAGGAAGCTTGATGGTGGAATTTATTTTGCCTCAGGTCAGTCTTAGTAGCAATCACCCATCACCCCTTTCTGCCTCTAATTGTGTACTCGCTTTCTCCTCTCCCCCTCTTTCTCCAGGCTCTGATTGTGGGCTGTTCCAAAGCTTAAAGCTTAGATTGTGACCTTTGCTTTCCACGCTCCCTTATTCCTCCAAGATTTTATTCATTTTCAAGGTCAATTACCTCCACCAAGCAGGTCCGGCACAGGCATTTTCCTTGAACTCTCACCCTCCCTCTCCAGCTGCTCCCAACCACGTGTGTGGGCTCCTTCCTGGACTCACCAGTTCTTGGTCAAAACCAGGCTTCTGCTCTGAAATTAGTTGTCAACCTAAATTCTACTACCATCTTCCAATCCCCACCACCCCTCCAATCCCCATCATAAGCCCCTCTTTGGTACTGAAATTATTGCTGTGGTCTCCTAATTAATTCTGTGGGCATGAGAAACACATGCACTGAATTGACAGAACTGACTAGAATTGTAAACGGATTGCATCCTTCATATTTTGTTCCAAGTGTGTGGAGTCTGAGGGAAGTCAAGATCTCAGTGTTTCTTGGGTTTCATATATAAGAGAAACTAATTTTTCTCCCACCGCTCCATTAGAGTGCCTGGCCCATGGAAGGGAATCAATAAGTATTAACTGAATAAGTAAAATTAATTAATTTATTTATTAGTGGGTGGATGGAATCTCTGCCATCACATGCCACTAAATTATAATCCCCTGCACATATTCTTGGGACTCAGTTTAATAAAATGCTATTTTGACTTTGACACCCTGTGTTTAGTTCCCCGACTCACCGAGGGCCATGTTGAAACTCAGCTTGGAATCAAATCTCTCCTTAATTTGTTCCAGCTTACATTCCTTTCCTCATCCCCCACTAATGCCCCAAACAAATATTCCAGAACAGGCAGTCTGATGTAGTTAATGTTCCCCAAAGACGAAGCCCTGCTTTGCTCTTCTTCTCTTCTTTGACTGTCAAGGAAACACCCTCCTCCCTGACTGCTCTGTGATTCTTCTTCTCTTACAGCTTGTTGTCTCAGTGCCACTTACCCTTCCCCAACCTCTTTGTCCTGAAATATTTATCTATCACTTTTACTGTGTTATAAATGACATACAGTAAGCTGCCTATTTAAAGTACACAATTTGATAAATTTGACATATCAACATATCATCATCATAATCAAATGATTACACCCAAATCCCCCATCACCAAATCCCCCAGATTTCCTTCTGTCCCTTTGTAATTCCTCTTTTTCCCCTCCCCCTGGTCCCAAGGAACTGCTAATCTGCTCTCTGCCACAAAGATTAGTTTCTGTAACTGAGATCACACAGTATGTACTCCTTCTCTGCCTTGTTTCTTTCACTCAGAACGGTTATTTCGAGATTCCTCAGGCTGTTACCTGTGCCAAGAGGGCATTCTTTTATTGTCTAATATTATTACTTTGCACGCTTATATCACAGTTTGTTATCCATGTACCCACTGATGGACTTATGGGTTGTTTCTATTGATAGTTTGGGGCTACTACAAGTAAAGATTGTAATTTGTGTTCAACACAGTTTTGAAAGCAAAAATTTGTGTTCTTGTGATTCTTTGTTACTGAAGCTTGAGATCCACTACTCTGGGTTCATGTCCCTCTGCTACTTGGGCCTCCCTGCCCCTCCACCTGATAAAGCCTGTCTAAAACCCAGGCAGGAGCCCCAGACAGGAACAAGCCATGACCAGACCAGGCTTGAGAGAGACAGAGGTGGGGGAGGGCGGGCTGGGGTGAGCCATGAACTCTGGTGTGTGGGGAAGGCCCATCTCATGACATCAGGGAAAGGACATTTTATTTTTATTTTTCTGTCTCAAAAGTCCTCTGGCTTGACTAAGCCAGCCCACACTGGCAGATGCCCATGTCCCAGAGGAGACAAGAGGCATGAGACAGGGAGAGGAAGTTCCTATGCTCCTAAGAATGGAAGAGCAGGAAGGGAGTTAGCAAGGTGGTGGGAGGCTGAGCACTCTGTGAGAAGCCCCTTGGGGAGGGAGAGCCACTGCAGAGGATGGGCAATGTCTAACAGAGATGCTTACATTTTTTGTTGAGCAGCACGTAGGTGACCTTTCCTGCTCCCCCCACCACCCCAAATTTTCCAGTAAATTCTATTAAACCCGTGGTATGAGGAATTTTTGCTGTGGAAACTAAAAAAAGGTCAGAGGCTTAAGCAGAAGATCAGGAAGATTCAATTTGTGCTCAACAAGCTGGGACCCTGGGTTCTGAGCTGCACCAAAGAACACAGAGCCCACCGGGGACTCAGAGTCCAGGGGCTTTGGCTTCTATAGGCCACAGAACTGGAGAAGTCAAGCAGATGATGCCTAAGCTTGGGGGCAGGGAGGCCTCTAGTGAACCCCTCTCAACCCTGAAACTGAAAAGTGAGAGGAGAAAAGAAAATGTGGTTTGGCTCTATAAATGCAATGCTAATTATAACCATTTGTGCAAACTGCTTCCCATTAATGCTTAATTGCTCACCAGGCCGTGTAATAACAATTGCACATTGCATGAACCACGCATCTGATTAGCTGAGTTTTATTTGCCTCCATGTGGGCCAGTCTTCATGTCTTACTTTGGTGCCCTGGCTGTCTACAGGCTAGTACAGTGTTTTACTTACAACTTAAATATATATATATATGACATGCTCAGTGTATGGGTAAGAGAGGGATTATCTAGTGTTGGGTCAAATATCCGTATATTATCTAGTTTGGGGACTTTGCCAAAAAGAGACAATGTGAGTCCTATTAACACTTTATATCAGTTTTTCACATTTTTATTTAGGAGACCTATAAAGTGTCCTCACGAAAGCAACTAGATCCCTGAACACCTACCCGCAAAACAGAACTTGAATAATCATTCTCAGCCAAAGCTAATAACTCATCCTAAATCCATCCTTCTCAGAAGGTAATAAAGTACAGAACCAGTTCCTCAGGGTACAGTTAATAGAGAGAGTGGATAAGAAGGTTCTTTAGCGGATCCCCCTAAAGAACAACTTGGAAATAAAGGACACTAGCTCATGAGTATCTCCAATAATCTAAACTCTTCCTGATAGCCTACTGTGTGGCCTGGCTATGTCCTGTGCACTGCAGGGGCCAGCACAAAATACATAGGTTACAAAACCACCTATCTGTCCTTAGGGACAGATAGGGTGGGGTGAGGGGTCACAGATGAATTAAATGAACCCAGATAAAAGCAGAGAGTGCAGAGGAAAACAGTACAGATACATCAGCAAAGCAATCTTACTTCTGCACGTCTTCTGATCCGGGTTGAGGATGTACCCTTGTTTGCACCTGCAGACATAGGAGCCAGGGGTATTGATGCAGAAGTGAGCACAGTTATGCGCCGAGACACTGCACATGTGGACAGCTGAAAGAGAAGGGACAGAAAGTTAAGGCAATGATATGATGCTTTCTCTAACTTCATCCACCCTGCAAATATTAATTCAGAACATACAGTTAGAGACAGCATAGGACCCAAAAAAGCAACATGCTGTATCCTCCGAGGGGACTTCCAGCCTCTGGTCACACAAGATAAATTTAGACAGATGGCACCAGCAATATATAGATGACAGGCCATGGGGGGCCGAGGGGAAATAATGTTGGCAGACCATATGAATTGCTGATAACCAGCTAAAAATTGGTTCAATATGTCCCCTGGTGTCGCAGTGGTTGAGCTCTGGGCTGCGAAGCTGCATGCAGCCTCTGCAGCGCCGGTTTGATCCCTGGCCGTCGGCAAGGGTCCCACATGGCACAACAGACCTCTCCTGTCTCGCCTGCTGCTCCCCTCAGCAGTATGTTTCATCAGTCTGCCTGTTCTGCTCCCCGCTCTGGCTCTGGTGAATTCTCTCACCCTCCTGTGCTTCTGATTGTACCCAGTGCTTGTATAAATAAACAAATCTTTAAAAAAAAAATTGGCTCAATATGGCCTATAAAACCAGAAAATTCATGGTTCAATTAATAATACACAATTAGTGAGCAGGGGGGAAGAAAGTTTGCTTATACAAGAGGGGGCTTTGGCTAGTTGTGAATTTTCAGTAGGCAGCATTGGGGCTGGAGGAAAAGAGATTAGTTAAGTGAGGACATGGAAAAGAAAAAAGAGTTTCTCAGGATCATAAATCCGAAGAGTAATGTAAACTTTTTAATATGCAAAAGTGTTATACAAAAAATTTTGGAATAAAAAAATGCATCAATACATTCCATGTTTCTATCATCTTTGTCATAATTTAAAAACTTCTACATTTAGTATCTGAAGTATGTTGGATTTCAGGTTCATCAATTCTTGCATAAGTCTGTCTGGAGCTCATAAAAATTCTTACTTTTTTTATCTTAATTTATGACTTCATTCAATACAATGCAATTTAAGCATATTTAAAATTAACAATCATCAGTATAAACAGAGCACATGTTATACGAGTGTTCTCATAAACAAAAAAGATGTCCATATGTAGAAACATATTTTTATGAAGCTAAAATAAAACAGGATTTCAAAAGCTAAGGACAATCCCATTAATCACTGTTTAGGAAAATTCAGTTACTGATGAATTCGATGGTGAATATTAAGTATAAGTCTCTTTACTTCTAAGAAAGAAATATGGTGGTCAATAAATCAACTAAGGGAGTAAAACTTTTTTTTAACTTCATAGCAATACAATTTAGAATGAGTGTTCTGAGTTTATGATTGTGTTAGAACTCCTGTTAAAATACAAATAATATTAGGAAACTTGTAGATAAATCCAATTAGTCATTTTTACTTTAGTGTAAAATAAGTTTTTGTTGTCATGGGTAATTTTCTTAATCTCTTTGTTTAAAAACTGGGATCAAAACAGCTTTGCAAAGGCTAAAGGGGTTATAATGATGACAATGGCAAAGTGCTTAGAGCAGTGTCCAGGTTTTTCACTCAAACGTTAACCATAGAGTCTACGTATATTGAGATGTATACTATATTTCGTGGAATCTAAGATGTACTCCAATTTCAGAGACATTAAAATAAAGACACATACAATTGAATCCCATTATTTATAGATTCTATACTGAAAATTCACCTATTCCCTAAAAGTTATTTATGATGCTAAATTCAAGACATTGCTTTTATAGTCACTCGTGGACATGCTCAGAGTAGGGAAGGTAGGAGTCACCTGAGCACATACCAACAGCTGAGGTTGACAAGATTGCCTCTACCTTCCCATTCCAGCTGTCAGACTCTAATCTGTTTTGAATCCATTTTTTTTTTAAAGATTTATTTATTTATACAAGAGCTGGGGAATAGGCCAGAGGTGCGGGAGGTTGAGAGGATTAACCAGAAACAGAGCGGGGAGCAGACAGACTGAAAGCATTGCTGAGGGGAGCAGCGGGTGAGACAGGAGAGGTCTGCTGGGCCATGTGGGTATCTTCCTGGCCAGCCGGGAATTGAACCCGCACCGCAGAGGCTGTGGACAACTTCACAGTGCTGCGCTCAACATGCTGCGCCACTGGGGAAGCCTTGTTTTGAATCTTTACACAGGTCTGTTTAGTGCCACGTTTTTGCAGGCAATTTTGCTGTTTAAAATGGCCCTAGGCTGCAGAGCTGGTGTTTGCTGAAGTACAGTCTAGTGTTCCTAAGTGTAAGAAGGCTGAGACGGCCTTAGGAGAAAAGATGTGTGTTGGGTATGTTGAGTTCAGGCACTGCTGTTGGCTGTAGTTCAATGAATTAACAATATATATTAAAATAAGATGTCTTTAAACAAAAACAAACATAAAACAAGATTATGTATTGATCAGTTGACAAAAACGTAATGGGCAGCTGGCAGAAACCTAACTCTGAATTTCCCCCAGGAGCTGTGGTTTATTCAGTATTTGCTAATTCAGTATTTACCATGACTCTGTGACTTTAAAGAGTATAATTGCAGATATCTAGGGACACTAGCACAATCACATTATTTTGTTTGGGTAGCATCCCCCTTTTCTAGAAACTGGTCTTCTTTCTTATTCCAAATACATTCTACATGGTAACTTGGGGACTGCTGTGTTGGGAGGAGGCAGTCCTTCTTCCTGGCTGTCCTTGGGCATGTAGGGTTTGACAATCAGTGTCCTTTTTTGGCATTCAGAAACTAGAACTGGGGAAAAGAGGGCTTAAACTGAGGCTAAGTACAACTTGGGGGATGCTGACAAGGTCCATGTTCTCTCCCAATGGACTGAAGAAGTGCAGAAGCAGAGGGAGAAAAGATACAGAGAAAGCAGGGCTGTCACTCATTACTCTTCTCCCCACTTCCACGTGTAGTAGCATACACTCTCCTCTTAATAAACCTAGTTGAAGTTGAGTTTCTGTTACTTTCAACCAAAGGAATCCCAAATGCTTTTACCAAGAAACAATAAGAATTTCTAGTATAGGTGAGTGCCAGATGGTTCTCAAAGCATCTGGGCCCTAATGCCTTGCTCTTCTGGGGTGTCAGTCTTTGTGGAGTGAATGAGGGGGAATGGAATAGTCCTACCTCCTCCACTGCCTGCCAGTGCTCTCATTTATCAGAAAGCATTTTGGGTTGAACGTAGGTCAACGCTTTGTGTTTAGGGGCATATATCACTAATCAGGCCCCTAAATCATTGGTAGGTTTTAATTTTTTCATTAGGAAATATAAATGTTCATAAATGCTTTTTTGTGAATGCATGAATGAGTAGAGAATGATCAGCATGGTGGGACTGACTGGGAGTCTTGAAAAGAGCAATCACCACACACAAAGTCAACACCTATGGGCCTCCCACTTAACAAGAGTCTCAAAGGGGTGCAGACCCAGACATTTTTTGATCCTAGAACTCCCAGGTCTTCCCAAGGCCTCTGAAATGCAAGACTTTGAGTAACAAACATCCCTTTCTCTGTGATGAGAGTCTCTTCCCACCAGCCTGGAAACCTCAGAACTGCACTGGGGCAGTAGGTGCTCAGGAGCCAGTGAGACTGCAGTGTGATCTCCAACTCTGCTACTTGAAGTTGGCTACTCCCTTTTTTTTTTTTTTAAAGATTTATTTATTTATTTGTACAAGCACTGGGTACAGTCAGAAGCGCGGGAGGGTGAGAGAATTCACCAGAGCCAGAGCAGGGAACAGAACAGGCAGAAGGACCGAAGTACACTGCTGAGGGGAGCAGCAGGCAGCAGGAGAGGTCTGCACGCCACGTGGGACCCTTGCCCGGCGGCCAGGGATTGAACTGGCGCTGCAGAGGCTGCGGGCAGCTTCGCAACCCAGTGCTCAACTACTGAACCACCGGGGAGGCCCGGGCTACTCCTTTCTAAGGCTGAGTTTCTGCTTTCTGTAAAATGGGAAAAATATAGTATATGCCTCATTGGGTTGTTGTAAGTATTAAATGAAATAATGTATGGAAAATACCTAGTTCAGGGCAAGTTTAGCTGTTATTATTAAAGTGTGACTCAATAAATATTTAAGGAACAAATGAGACTTTCAAAACCTCAGTGATGCCATCTGCAATATGGAAGATCTTCATCATTGTTGTCTGACTGAGTACAGATCAAAACCAAGGCCATCAGCGTAGCCTGCTGGTCCTCATAATCAAACACAACACCGTACACACTGTGTGTAAAATATACTGTGTTCTAACATATCTACTTCTGCAGGTAAATGCTCCATTTTACAGATTTGCTCAGCATTGTACACCTGGCAGGTGATATAGCTGAGATGCGAGTCTGCTCCTCCCAGCCACCCAAAGTCTTCAGAGTTTTAGCCCTCAGGTGAGTAGCAACTACACAGCTGGCTTACCTAGAATGGCTGGACTGTGGAGGCTGCCATCAGAAAATGGCTTAGCTTAAGAGAGGAATTTACAATTCCAGACATGTGGAGGAGAGACACGAGCAACCCACCCTCATCTGACTGTTCTTGGGGAATTGGCTTAACCAATTCACTAATCTTTAAAGAGGGAGGGAGAGCGGTGTGCTACCTCCCCAGCTTTTTCTGACAGCCTAAAAGAATGTGCTTTATGAATGTGAGTTACTGCTGTCTTTACTTGGTAGATGATAAAGAGGCCCTAGGGCCTCCTCAACCTTTCAAGATGGTTGATGATTCTGCGCAGCAGAACCCCGCAGTGCCTTGCTGGAGCAGCTGTGCTTCCTGAAGGGTGCATAGGGGCAGTCAGTTTCCAGCCACACCTAAATCAACCAACCAGGAATGGGATAATCAGACATGATCTTGGGGCTTTCAAATTGCAATAAAGATGGTGGATGGGGGGAAAATTCAAACTGCCTTTTAATTTTGCTGACTGGACATCAAGCCCACAGAGAGGGTTCTTCAGATGAGGCCACATTCTTAGTCTCATCATATCAACTTACTATTTGTTGATAAATCCAGAGCACATATAAAAGAACCTCTCCATTAACATTTTTCAACACAAATGAATAAGCTGTTCTGTTTTAGTATTTCCACTAAAAGGGGAACATCAATTCTGCAGAAGTCATTTAAAGTCATAAAACTTAAAAGTGTTTGCAGCACTGGTAGAACTTTTCCCAGTGACTTAGGCCATGGCACACCACAGTAACACAGTCCTTCTGCAGTGCCAGGGAAAATGGCACTTCTGAACACTTTCCAAGTAAATATTGCAGAGAAAAACATTTTTTCCTTTGTGGCATTGATTTCTTGAGTAAATCTTTTGATTTTGGACTCAAGAAAAAATGGGGTCTCTGCTTTTTAAGGTTACTTTCTGGTGGGGATTTTTTTTAAAAGATATATCAAAAGCTGGGCCTCCCCTGGTGGCACAGCAGTTGAGTGCTGGGCTGCGAAGCTGTGCGCAGCCTCAGCAGCGCCAGTTCGATCCCCGGCCAGCAGGCGAGAGTCCCCCATGGCGCACAGACCTCTCCTGCCGCCCATTGCTCCCTTCAGCAGTGTACTTCATCACTCTGCCTGTTCTGCTCTCTGCTCTGGCTCTGGTGAATTCTCTTACCCTCCCGCGCTTCTGACTGTATCCAGTGCTTGTATGAATAAATAAATAAATCTTTAAAAAAAAAAAGATTAACATGGAAAAAAAAAGACACATCAAAATCATAATATTCTTCTTCCTCCCCAGGGCTTTTTTTTTTTAACAGTCAATTTTTTTTTAAGATTTATTTTATGTATACAATTGCTGGGGTACAGGCCAGAGGCGTGGAAGAGTGAGAGGATTCACCAGAGACAGAGTGGGGAGCAGAACAGGCAGATGGACCAAAAGCACTGCTGAAGGGAGCAGGAGGTGAGACAGGAGAGGTCTGCTGCGCCATGTGGGTATCTCCCTGGCTGGCTGGGAATCAAACCCGCACAGCAGAGGCTGCAAACAGCTTCATAGCACTGTGCTCAACCCACTGAGCCACTGGGGAGGCCCTCTCCCCAAGGTTTTGATGGGGTGTATAGAGGAGTTCTACAGTTTATCACATTTTGAGAACTGATCCTTAGAGCCCTCAGAGAGGCAGGTTCCTGATCCTGGTGATCAAGCTGGTTATTAAGCTCATTCTTCACTCATACTCCAGGGAAATTCTTGTCATTTAAAAGTAGATACTTCCTTTTGTGTTCCCATGAAAGATGCATCAGAGCTGGCAGGGACAGGGACCATTAGGGGTGAGCAAAGCATGTCCAGTTTCTAGCAACTAGACGAGAGCCCATTTGGCACCCTGAGTCCCTGCCCTCCAATGAAAGAAAGGACAAGAAGACCTCTGCAGAGGCAGGAGGCCAGGGAGGGAACAAATTGACTTGCCAGGAAAAACTGAGGCAAGAGCTCAGATTGAGGTAAGTGAGAGAAGTTTGCAAGGAAGGAAGAGAGAAGCCTGGTGGGCAGGAAGATTAGAAAGCAAGAGAAGGAAGAAGGCCCTCAAAGTAGAAGAACACAGCTCAAAGGTTTAGGGAGGCATCCCCTTTGCAGGAGTGTGGGGACCTGCCACCTTAACAGATGGGAAGGCACAAGGACCACATCTTGGTCCTCCCTGTACACTCAGCCTCTTTGCCTTTTAAGTAAACATCTACTACTAGCACCACCATGAGGCAAAAATGCCTTGGTATTCCACTTGATGCAAGGAGAAAGTGTTATTATTTTTGCCCTTCCATTCCCATCTCTCTTCCAACTCACGAATTCCAATTTAGCAAAGGCTAGGGCAGTTCAATGTGCTGTAGGAAAACTCCACCTATCTATTCTTACTCATTCTACAGTTTGGGTTTAAATGTCCATTCCCCAGGGAAATCTCCCAGAGCACCCTGGCCTAAGGTAGGTACTTGGGTTATATGTTCCTTCATGCCCTGAATTCCTCCTCCACTACACTGTACAACAGCATCTACTTATTTGCTTGTGTCATGACATACTCAGTGTCCTTCTCCTTGGCTAGTATAAGCCCCAAGAGAATGCTGTGTCTATCTTTGACTTTGCTGAACACCCCTTGCTAGCATAGTAGCTGGGACAAGGTTAAGTACAGCATGAACACTAGAAAATGATGAATGAATACTAATGGTCCACCCCCAAACAGCCACAAAGGAGCAGGACTTACTGCACAACTTCTTCTGGAACACTGAAGTCAATGACTCAATCTGGCTGAAGTTGGCCACCAGGAAGACATGGTCCTCATGGGGCTCACTGCCAATGGCCTTCAGGGTGTTGAGGTCCACCTGGCCCACACCGATGGCAAAGATGAGGATGCCTGTGTCCCGTGCCTTTGCAGCCACCTTGGCGACCGAGTCCTGGGGTCTTCCATCAGTCACAATCATTATGACCCGAGGCACATTCTCCCGCAGGGGCCGGGCCCCTTCTGCTTCTGAGAATGCAATGTTCAGGGCGTACTGGATGGCCAGTCCTGTCATGGTGCCCGTGGACAGATGCCTCATCCTCTTGACAGCACGCTCCACCTCAGACTTCCTCTTGAAGGTTTTGAGGGAGAACTCATTCTTGACGGTGCTGCCATATTGCAGCAGACCCACTCGGGTGACATCAGGGCCAATGTCCAAGAACTGTAAGATGTCCACAATGAACTCCTTGACCTTTGCGTAGTCATGGGTGTTGACGCTGCGGGAGCTGTCAATGATGAACACCAGGTCTGCACGCTTATTCTCACAGGAACTCTCTGTGGAAAGAGTGGAAGTCAAACTCATTAAAAGAGTGTTAAGGACCCAGTGCGGCTTGGCGGTTGTTAGAAATCTTAGGACCAGGTGGCGTGGGGGTGTGAGGGGCAGATGACCTTTCAAACCTCTGATCTCCATTGGTTTCTCTTACCCATCTGGGAAAGTCATAAGGATATATAATCATGACTGGCTAATTATGAATATTGACCACATACAAACACAAATTCTCTTCATCAGATGAACGCTTTAGTTTCTGGGAAGTTGCCTATACAGTTTTTAGGGCAAACACCTTATTATTTTATTATTTACTGTGTGGCAGTACTGGAAGCGTTTTTTATTAAGCTTAGCAGGATACTGCAGGGACTACAGAAGCGGCTTAGCATAGGGAATAATGCTAAGGAGCTTACAGTCTATCAGGGGAGACATAACTAATGGGACAATAAAAGAATAACTAGTATGGAACTATGTAGTGCTGACACAGGATATTCAGAGAACAGGGATATCAGGGGGCAGGGGTCAAGGAGCTGGGACATAAACTGGCCTTACAGATGCATGGTGTTTAGATTGAGAGAAGAAAAACTTGGAGAGGAACATGTCTTGGGCTGAAGTCCAAGATGACAAGAATGTGGCAGATAACAGAACTTGTGATGAAGATACTGCTAGGAGTTGCAGATGGAATTAAGTCAGAGGGATAGCCTAAAGTTGGTTCTAAATGGCCTTCAAATTCAGGCTGAGAACTATGCATATATTGCCACAGGTGATGGGCATAATATGATCCTCTTGCCAGAGAGCAGATTGGATAGATCGTTATGGACTCAAACCTCATTTATAGCCTCTTGCATGGGTGCCTAAGGAGTGAGGATGGTGTTGTGGTGGTAAGGAGAGATTTCACATTTGCCTTTTTCCAACTTAACTATGTCCTTGTTGCAATGTTCCTTGGTCAGTCCCTCCTCCGTTTCCACTACTGTCCCCTGCTTGTGTTTGAGTCCATTTCTCAATCAATTTAGTGTAACAACAGTTTGGATCATCCACCTTGCAAACCAATACAGATTTGATCAACTTTTTATTAAGTAACTTCCCTGTGGGAAAGAAAGGTTGATAATAGATGTGCTGAGAGGCCTCCTGCCTCAAATGGAGGAAGGTGAGTATTCCTGTCACAGTTCCTCAGGTGTTCCAAGCTACGGCCTCCAACCAAGGGGAGACCCTCCTCCTTGCCACCCATACCCCAAGCCTCTCTTTTTTTCTGGACACTGCAGCTAAATCTGAATTTGACAGGAGTTAGAAAAGGGATCCCAAATGCTTGCCCTAAATTCCAATCACCACAGCTGCAAGAAAGAGATAGAAAGCCAAAAATGAAATACTGAGTACAGTCACCAAAATGAGAAGTGGGGAGGGCCCATGAGGTCAGCCTGTTCAGGTCAGCATGCCAGGCCATGACCGGCTCCCAGCACCGGTACACACATCACATCCTCTGCAGTCTCACACATCTAAGCATTTTAGGGAAGGAGGAATCACCCCCCAGATACCAGTATCCTGGCAGGAAACCAACCTTCTGCCTCAACCATGTATAATTCTGGGAGCTGTATGAATTTAAGGTAAGTTTCTTAAAATAGAGGCCCCAGAATCTGCCTTTGAGGACCCATGGGTAAGCTCACTTTAAACCTATTTTAAAATCTTTTTTCCCCAGAGCATTTTCCTTATTATGATCTCATTTGATTTTCAGAATAAGCTCCTAAGATCTAAGTGTATCATACCCATTGAATAGATAGAAAATGGAGGCACTGAGGGCCTCCCCTGGTGGCGCAGTGGTTGAGCGCTGGGCTGGAAAGCTGCCCGGAGCCTCTGCAGTGCCAGTTCGATCCCCAGCCGCCGGGCAAGGGTCCCACGTGGCGCACAGACCTCTCCTGCTGCACCCGCTGCTCCCCTCAGCAGTGTATTTCGTCAAGTCTGCCTGTTCTATTCCCTGCTCTGGCTCTGGTGAATCCTCTCACTCTCCCACACTACTGACTGTACCCAGTGCTTGTATAAATAAATAAATAAATAAATCTTTTAAAAAAAAATGTGTCTTTAAAAAAAAAAAAACGGAGGCACTGAGTTTGAAAATCTCTTATAATTCAGAAAAGGGAAAAGTATAGGGAAACAACACTAACATCCACCTCACAAGGAGGTTGGAGATTTTAAGGCAATAATATGAGTAAAGAATGGGGCTCAGCACATGGGGACCTCCAACATGTGTTAGACATATGATGGCGTTATTTCCCAATAAATTCATCCTAATTTGGAAATATGTCAAGTCAAAATTGCATTTAATATAGTATCCAAAAAATGCTGGCAACACATACACTGGGGAGGATCAGTGTTTACACTCATGACTGGCTGGCTGACTGGCAGCTGAGGCTGCCCAGCCTCACGAGGGAGAATCACACCACATATCTCTAGCCCAGGAAAAGATCAAAATTCAAAATGTAAAGTATGATTTCTATTGAAAGTGTACTGCTGTCACACAGTTTCAAAAAGTCGAAAAATCCCAAGTCAAACCTTTATGAGTCAAGGTCTGTCTGTGCAGGCTCTCTGCCCACAGTGCCCCCACACTGCCCCTCCTTCTGCCCTTACTGTACGGGGTCCAGGCTGGGTAGGCACAGGCTTCTGCTATGGCTATATAGAGAGATGTCCAAGGAGGAAATCCAGCTGGATTGCCTCTCAGGAGTCCTGAGAGGCACCTGAAGGGTGGGCCTTTTTCTCATTTTAATAAAGGTATTTGTGGTGGAGCAATGGCCAGCAGTCAGAGCCATAGAGGACAGACCTGCAAGACCCAGGGATGACACAAGAGTCAAGCCTGAGTCTGCAGGAGTCACACCTGCCCCACCCTTATTTCTGAACTTACTGCAAGGAGAGTGTGACCCAATGATCTCCACAGGCTGAGGAGAACAGGAACGAGGCTCAGAGCCTGCACAGAGGAGATAGTAAATGTAAGTCTCCTTGCAGAGGAGGCTGGGAGGGAGACAGCAGATGGGCCCCCTGAGAATGCTCTCCCTCTGGAGAGCTTTGCAAGTAGGGTATCCTCCTGGGACAGGGATTCTTAGGTGGCCTTAAGTCAACATCCCACCAAGCATCACAATCAATTTAAAGGGAATTCTGGAAGCTCCAGGGGGAATTAAGAGCTAAACTGGATTTGTTCCCATCAAAACAAATAGCCACAATGCCACAAAGGTTTGAAATGTTGTTGGAGGTTCCAAGGGGACCCCAGGGTGGTTGTGAGTTGAAAAGGAGTTCCTGCAGCCTAAGTGACTGAGTTTTTGTCATTACGTCTCCTCAGGTCCTTGGAGGGTCAGAGCTACAATCTCGCAGCTTGTCTCTGAAAAGTTCAGTTCAGTGGCTCTCAATAAGAATGTCACCCCCTCAATTCCCTGGAGGACTTATTAAAAGTCAACCTCAGTGAGTCACATCCCCAGTTTATGTACATCTTCTAGAGTGGCAACTTGCATTTCTAATAAGTTTCTTTTTTTAAAAAAGACTTATTTATTTATGCATACAAGCACTGAGGTACAGGCCAGAGGTGTGGGGGGGGTGAGAGGATTCACCAGAGACAGAGTGGGGAGCAGAACAGGCAGACTGAAATACACTGCTGAGGGGAGCAGCGAGCGAGTCAGGAGAGGTCTGCTGCGCCATGTGGGTATCTCCCTGGCTGGGGATCGAACTCATGCTGCAGAGGCTGTGGACAGCTTCATAGGTTGCATCTTAACCCCTTGCACCATGAGGGAAGCCCTCTAATAAGTTTCTGGATATAGTCCACACTTTGAGGACTACTAGTTTAGGTACAGGAGAAATCTCTGAAGAAAAGTAGTTCTGACAAGAACTATGAATTCCCCAAAGTAGGAAATCAGTTTCATTCATCTCCAGAGCCCTGCGGTCAATATTTGTGAGTAAATAGAATTCTGGGTAGAGCAAAGCTTCAGGTGAAAGGGATTGAGTTAAGGAGGTGGCTGCAAAACACAAAATTAAATATCAGTAGTTCTAGAGCAAGTCTGGGTCCTGCATTAGAGTCAGATTCCAGGACACAAATCTCTATCATTTACGAGAGTGTAGCCACTTCTGAATGTTTGGTTCATGGTTTCAAAAACTAATAAATGGTAGAGCTGGAGGAATTTAAACAGAATGGAAGTCACTCATTTTTGCAGAAGGGGAAATGGAGGCTCAGTGACTACCTCCATTTGACCTCCTGAGACTTGAAAAATTCTCAATGCAGCTGGCATTAAAATATGAGCTTCACGAGTACGTGGGGGCATCCCAAACTATTTGCTGTGTAAAGACTTAGAGCTTCTCCACTTGGTGACTGCTCAGAGAGGTTTTCAGAAAAATGAACTCTTTTTTCTGTGTCTTCCTCTCTCCTATTGGTTCAGATAACAGCATTCCCATTTCTCAGCCTCGGGAAAGGTCACACAATGATCTTCCTTCTGGTCCCTCACTACAGGACTTTTGATAGAAATTGAAGCGGGTTTGTGGGCACATCATAAAATGTCCTTCCTCAAACCATGAAGCAGAGGTCTGGATTTTGTCAACAGCACTTCCAGGACTGTCATTTTAATTCCAAGGTCAATGCATTGGGCAAACAAGTCTCTCTTACCCTTGCAGAGAAGGTGAACCTGAGCCAGGACAATTTAAAGCAAAATTCCTGCTCCAGTGGGATCACAGTGTACAACCTCAGAACTATTTCCCACCCTCAGGGTGGCAACCTTGCTCTGGCTAAATTCAATCACGGCCAGGCCTCCCTGGTGGCGCAAGGGGTTAAGACACAACCTGTGAAGCTATCCGCAGCCACTGAAACATGAGTTTGATTCCTGGCCAGGGAGCTACCCACATGGCACAGCAGACCTCTTCTGACTTGCCCGCTGCTCCCCTCAGCAGGGTATTTCAGTGAACCTGCTGTTCTGTTCCCCACTCTGTCTCTGGTGAATCCTCTTACCCACCACCAACACACCTCTGGCCTGTACCCCCGTTCTTG